GATTTTGTAGTAAATTTTTTTTCACAGTATATTGATATTTTATTGCCAATATTTTTAATGTATATGGCAGCAATCATAAATAATTTGTCAATCTTTTTATTATCAATTTTTATTAAATTTAGCAATAATTGATAGCCGAATGACATAATTTTGACTAGTATATAGAAGATCTTAAATTTATATATAAAAAATTGGAAGTCAAAAAAACAAAAGATAATATTAAATCTAATCTAGAACAGAGATGTAAAACTTGATAAATAATCAGAAACAGATAATCAGCTTTCTAATCAACTGAACTAAAAGTAAAATAATATTAGATAGAATTAAGATCAAACAAGATGATAACAAATATAACACAAAAAGATAAAATTGAAAATTAAATAAGATGGTATTATTATGAGACCTTCCAAAAAGAAAATCTAGCTATAATAGTTTATTAGAAAATTAAAAAGAAAAATATAAATCAAGAGAATATATTTAAATAACTTGATATAATAAATTACTTGAACAAATTTCACAAAAAGAACTTAGTGAAATACTAAGGATATTTTCCAATAACAAAGCTTTAGTAAAATCTCAAATAAGTTATGAAATACAAAAAAGGTTAAACCAAGAAGAAAAATATTTCTTGAGAAAATACTAAATATCTTCTTAACATAAGAAGTTACCCTAAAACATTAAAAATAGAGTCATACATATCTTATAGCTAAACCTAAACCTGAAGGTTGTAAATTCTCAAATACTAGACCTATCATTCTACTAGAAATTACAAGAAAGTATTTTATTAAAATCCTTATCAATAAAATAAAAAATATTTATAAAAATAACAATATCCTCAAGAAACTGAACTATGCAGAAATACCAGGAAAAAGTATAGTAGAATTAGTTTAGATTCTTAACAATATCTATAAAGATACCAGAGAAAATAAAAAGAAACTGTGAATACTTTTTCAAGATACTACAAAAGCATAGAATACAATTAGTTTAGATATATTGATAAAAGCAATAAAAAAAATAAAAGTTTCAAAAGGTTTGATAAAAATTATAATAAGTTTCTTTTAAAATAAAGAATTTTGAATTATATTTGAAAATAATCTCACAAAATTAATAGTAGCTGAAGATAGAATTATCAAGAAGAAATCATCTCATTTCTACTATAAAGAATTTTTTATGATTCTTTTCTTTATAAAATTCAGAATGATATATGAAGAGGGTATAAAATATCAATTATATAGAACTCTGATTTAAAAAAATAGATTCAAGAAGATTATAATTAAGGCATATAACTATAGCCTTTATAAATAATACAATGTGAATAGCAAGATTTAATGAGGATATCAAAAAGATTCTGAAAACTACAAAAATCTTTTACAAAATCAATGACTCTCAAATAAATAACAATAAATTAGTCTTGATTATTATTAACAATTCTAATTTTTATTTAGAAGAAATAAAGATAGGTATTGAAGAAGAAGTAATTAAAGAACTCCATAAAACAGAACAAGTCAGATTTTTAGAAATCTAGATGAATAATCAAAAAACTACAATTGAGTTTAAAGAACAAGTGTTTAAAGAAATCAATATAATAACAAGAGCCCTCAAATATAAAAAGGTAATAGACATACAAATTCTCTATATTTTAAATAAAGTATTAATATTTAGAATAGAATTTTGAATACAATATAGTATATTGTCCTGGAAAATATATAATATCTTGACAACTGCATATAAAAAACTTTTTATAAATAAGAGTGGTTTATGTAGATTCATGCTCAATAATATAATTCATTACTTAAAAATCTATAACTTAAAAAATATTTGGATGCTGCAATAAGAAAGTCAAGTAATAGAACTTTGCAACAGACTAAATGATTTTAAATTAGTAGGAATCACAACAATTATTAGACTCAAACAAGCACAGATAAAAATTTGTGAACCATTCAATTAATTAACCTACAAATACTTAAGTTATCTAACAAATAAAGATAACTTCACACTTCAAATGATTAAAATTGTTAAAGATATGGGATTAACATTTCATAGTTGAAAATGGCAAGATACTTTTAAATAGAAAAAGAAAAATATTTGAATCAAAGAATATCTTGTACTAGAAAAATATAAAAAAAAACATATCATTACTTAAAAACAATTAACTGATATATCTGAATTAGCTAATTGATCAGAAAACTAAAAAAAATAATGACTGATAAATACTTTAGCTTCTATAAAATACAAGTAAAAGATATATATCAGAATAGTTCCAAATCATAATCAAAAATCTCTTAGGAGAATAACTAAAGTAATTTATAAGATTTGAGATAGAAAACTATACAAAATAGGAGATAAGCAAAAAAAATTATGGATATTAATAAGAAGCAAAAGAAATCAAGTAACTTGGAAAAAGTTAAAACAAGAAAAAGAGAGATATAATATAATAGTAAAGCATTTTACTAGTTGTGGTATTAATAATAATTAGGAGACTAGTATATAAAAATGTCTTGGTTATTTAGAAGGTACAACACAGAATGATAATTATATCATAGAAAGAGAAATAAAAAATATATATATAGTACTATATCTCAATACAAGAAAGTTTACCAGAAGAATATGAAAGTTAAAAATCTTTAATCCCAAATTAGTATTTGAAAAAAGAATCAAAGAAGTGATTTATAGTAAATAAAGCTCTTTCATAATCCAAAATGATAGAGTAAATTATATAAACATCAAAACCTGGGAAGAATCTATTATCAGAAAAAATTTTAGAAAAGGAATATATTCAGATCACTTAATAGAAATACTTTAATACAATCTTGAATCTAAAAAAAATCAATATTTATTCTAATAGATTACTTATTAATTATGAAAAAAAAATAAATATAGGAGCAGCTTGGATTCAGATAGAAAAAGAAAAAAAAAAAAAGCAAGTTTCAAATAGAAGTAAATAATTTGCTCTCATCTATAAAAGTTAAATTGATAACAATTATAATAATATTTTTGATAGTTTCAATTGAAAATATAGTTGAGATTTGTATAGACAATCAAATATGTATTTTCAAGTGAAATCTTTAAAAAAAAAAAACTTGAGAAGAACATATAAAAGATAGCTCAAAAGTTCACAAAGTTAAAAAACACTTCAATGATCTCGACAATAAAGAAATAAATACCTTAACAAAGGAAACTTTAAAAATTTCTATTGATTAAATAGAAAAATCTTATCTCATACAGGATTATTATCAAAATCAAGTAATAAGAAACAACTTTAGGTGATCTAATTAAATAGTTTATTAAGAATATTAATAATAAGATAATAGCTTATCAGTAGACATAGTAAAATATAATGAAGAAAAAATAGAATCACTAGATTTCAAAATACTGAGTTTATATATGAAACCTAATATAAGAAAGAATTAAAGATAGATATATGTGTGATATATTCTTTAAACAATCTTAACAAAGAAACTTTTTCATTAAACTGATTAATGATAAGCTACTTATTTTAAGTAAGTTAACTATAAGAAGATCAAATCTATTGTATATAAGTAAGTAAAATATATTATATATAGTTAATAAGTTAAAACTATAAAACACTTGTTAAAATATTCAATCTATAATAATTAATTACAAGAAATATGAAATAAAGAAATAGATAGAATTATTAAAAACTTTAAAAAGTTACTATAAGAAAGAAAGAAAAAGAGTAAAAAGAAAAATTCTAGGCTGATTATTAATAAATAAGAAGAAATAAAGAAGTTTGATAAGTGAATATCTAAAGATGTAGAACAGACTTTTAAAACTAGTCAAAATATTTTAAGTTTTTATATTGACCTTATAAGAAAATAATTTTATTCTAAAAACAACAGATCTAAAATATCAAGATAAATATATAGAAAAAATAGCAAGAAAGTGAATAATAAAAATACAAAAAAGAATTTGTAATCAAGTTCTAAAAAAAGTCTGGAATAATAAATATAAAAAGGTAATTGAATGGGAACAAACACAAATAATTGATAAAGAGAACAAAAAAAAAAGACCTTTATGTCTTTAAGATTAGAAAACTATATTTTTAAAGAAAAGAGAACTATTAATTAAAGAAGAAAACCTTGAAGATGAAAGTTTTTGAGAAATTCTACCAAGAAAAGTAAAGTGTAAAATGAAATGATTGGATTTTAAGCTCTATCAGAATCTTGCAATGTGATCTGCAGTAGTAACTTATAAGCAATAAAGTTAATAGTTGAAAGGATTTTTACTTGAACTACTAATAGAGTAATAAATCATTTCAAAGTTGTATTTAGAATTTTAATAAATCTTAAAATAAATATGAGTAAGTTAGATAGAAACTTAGCTTTAGTGATATATTTTCTAAATATAAAGTATATATACTGTATGTTTAATAAAGCATATATATCTAATCTGACAGAGGGTTTTAAAAAAAAAAAAAAATTAAATCAGGTTAATAGCATATATTTATTATATCAATTACAAATTATACTTAAGTATTATATACAGTATACTATATATAAAATCTAAGCTAAACTAATTCTTTTATTAACAATCTTATTTTAAGCCAAAATCTCCATATTTGATCATGAAAACAATATAATATTTTATAAGTACTTTGAATAAATATCCTTATAATTATTTACTTTATTGCTAATCAATTAAATCTCTTATAAATAGATTGGCACCCTTATTGAAAAATATATTTTTCTTCTAACTATTTGATTTTATTTTCTTTCTCATATATCATCTGAGGAACCTATTGAATCTTGAAGAAATAAAATAAATTTATTTCTAAAAAACCAAGTAGCACATTATTCGCTTAAAGCTACGAAACTGAAACCATTGTTCAAATGATAAACGAGAGTTTCAGGTGCACCCCACGAATTGAATATGTGAAGTCGATTAAATTTATAATTTAGCCTTACAACTTGTAGAAAGATTTACGACTTTGCAATGATGCTGCCCCTCTTTTCTCTCATTTCATCAAATTTTTGCAGTACCTTATATCTGTGCAACAGTCCATCCCTGGCAGAAACGCTCAATACACCCGCAATCAATTCTACCCCCCTAACCGAGTCATCATTAGCCGGTATGGGCCAGGTAACTTTTGTCGGGTTAAAATCGGTGTCCACAATTCCTATCGTTGGAACATTACTTTGCCTTGCTTCTCTTAATACAATTTCATTTTCAACAGGATTCAATAATACTATTAAATCGGGAGTGTACACTTTTGCAAGCAAATCCTTGTCATCTTTTTTCGTCAGGTGACCTAAGATTTGTTGGGAATTGGTCAAAGTGCCGGGCAACCAACGGGTCGTGAGTTGGTATTGTTTGCATCTTTTTGCGGCATTTATAGTTGCCTGCGTGAATCCTCCCCCACGTGTGTTGACAAACAAAATTATACCACCACGATAGCTCATCTCTCGAATAACTTTACATGCCCTGCGCAGATAAATCAAAGTGTATTCGAGGTTTATGATACTAATATCATGACGAATGCCAAATATGAAAGGAGAAGTGGTAGGGTCCCATAATGACTTCGAATGGCCTATATGAAGGCCAGCCCTCAGAAGGGATGCAATTGTCAGATCATAAGGAGAAGGAGGGGTATTTAGAAGTTTATGTGGTGTATCGTAGAGAATTTTGGTGGTGCCTGTTTGTTTAATAAAGTCCGGGACTGATTATCGAGCAGTAATGACGAAGATTAGTTTAAGCATAGGATCCTCAAAACAAAAAAGGATTCCATTATTAATATATAGTGATGATATTTACCATCATCAATCCTTGAGGATTGCTCACTAACCAAAGGCTCACAAGAAATAGCTCGGAAAAACTTGTGCGAAATCTCGTGCTCAAAATTAATCTTGGAATTTTCCGACGACAATGCATTATTTGAGGTGGTAGCCGACTTGAGCATGGTTTCTTTATTATCTTTAAATTCGAAAGTAGTTGACATGTTACATCTTGGCGAGTTGCGAGAACCAATAATCTTCAAAATTTTTGGTTTTAAAGCCCTTCTGGTGACTTTAAAATGTGTTTGAAATAAGTGCCAAATATTGAATTTCACGTTTCCATTTATATATACATATATGTATACCAGGCTCACGAGTCACCGACCTCCTTTACAGGAATTCCAATTTACAAAATTGTTAACTCTCAGCATTTACACGCGAAATTAAACAATGATCTTACGATCTACATATTTTTACGATTTTTTTAAGGTTACACCATCGCCACGTGAAAATCACTTATCAATATTATATGTTAGGCGAAAAGGAATAGCGTTTCGCGAGGTTATCACTCTATCACTCCCATCCCCGAAAACGTTCTTATGACGAGTAAATTTCTTTGATAATAGATAACACCTTTTTCTCGACAAACGAAACCATCATTTGGTCCACATTTTGTGGCAAATTAAGGCTAACGAAAAATTGTTTGTTGAATTTGGTCGCTATTAATGTATTGATCAAAGAAAAAAAAAAAAAAGAACATGAAAAGCCATGATTCATTTATGTCACGAGTTTAAAAACAGGAAAGAAAAATTGGAAATGATATTACCAAGTCTGCATCCGAGATTTTTAGAACTTTCGTCTATATTTTTGGTCATTATGGTTGTTGCCGAGGACATGTTCTTTGAGACCGGAGGTGGCATTGCAACCGCCAGATTCCCCAAAACCTCATTTCCCTCAGCGCCAACCCACACAAAGGCGGATTCTTCGAAGGTCGTTATTTGAAAATGTATTGGTTGATTTAAAAACAAGTGTGTGCAAGTATAAACTTTAAAAGCAGGTGTACTCGGTTCGGAAGGCATGTTTATCCAAGGGGTTGGACAAAACGGTTTAACTTATATTTCCGCCGAATCTGATTGATTACCCAATCAACCTTTTCACCAATGTAGATTCCACAAAACTTTTCAAATACTCACAATGTCGTCGTCTAATATTACGGTTGACTCGCTAGACGCTACCGAAGATAATCCATTGCTTCCCGATGAATCAACAGCCACTGAAGATGAAGAACCATCCTCAACTTGTGCGGAAAGATTCAGAAAACCCCATGTCTTGTGGATGATATTTTTTAGCATCACTCTGTCAACCATTATGACTTCGATAGTAGCGCCTTTAGGTTCGCCGTTGCCCTTGCCTTACTAAAGTCTTTGCACATTTCATTGAGCCTCCGATAATAAACATACTTTTTTATCTTTGGTCGCCTTGCTTCTTCTGCATTTCTCTATACTCTGCCACCACAGTACGCCTCGTGCTGGACATTACGTGCTTGGAATATTACGAAAAAGGGAACGAGAATTACTTAAAGAATGCCACATATTATTCAAAGCTACCAAGCGAGGAGGATTGCAAAGTACCGGAAGTGCAGGCGTTAGCTTCCAAATATTTAATGTGGTATCAGATGTTTTCATATCTTGCAGGTTGTCAATCCGAGCATCCGTGTTTTTAAATTTCACAGCACTATTCTATCGACTAATTAGTCTCTCATTACACACAGCAACTTTATCAATAGGTTATCTATCGACTCTTTCAGATTATAAGGGTCGTCGATTCATATTTAGATTTTCAACCGTTGGTGTAATAATAGCCTTCTCTAATATTATCTTCGTTTATCATTACTGGAGAATTGTTAGTATCAAATTTTTATTCCTTGGCGCAATTATTGAGGGGTTGTCTGGCGGCATAATCGCGATAAATACCGCGTGCCATGCTTATATAAGTGATTGCACAAGGCCTGAGAATAGAAGCGTCGCGTTTGGATTGATGCATGCTTCAGCTTTTTGTGGAATGGCAATTGGACCGACATTAGGTGGTTTTATCACACAGGTTTGCGGTTTCAACCATCTAATGATTGTGCACCTCCATTAACCTGATACTGATTTTGCCAATATCTTTCTCATCAGTATGCAGGGTCAGTCATATCAATATTTTATTTTGCAGCGTGCGAACTTTCTATCTTTTTACTTTTCGCGTCGTTTATCGTACCGGAATCTCTTTCAAAAGAATTGCGTCTTCAAAGATATGAATCATCACTTTTGCCGGCAACTTCACCGAAACAAATATTTTCTTCCTTGACTATTCTCACTCAAACGCCGATGAACGTCAGGGAGACTGGCCGAGGCAGTTCGTGGAGAGGAAAAAATACTTTATACATTCTTTCCATCATATATGCAATATACAAAATATCGCAAGCTGGTATGTGGGGATATACGTGTTCCTTTCTGTCCGTCACCCTTTAGATTGACATTAAAAGCTTTCCATTCAAAAAAGGTCAGAATGATATCATTGCACTTTACACAACTCATAAATTCGATTGGACGGTTCTAGAAAACGGATTTTTTTTCTCTCTTCAAGCGTTTACCCGCTTCGTCGCGTTAATCTTACTTTTACCACTGTTTCGCGTCCTGCAGTCCAGATATTTCTCATCCTACTCTCGTGCTCTCGACATATTCATGATGAAAATCGGGTTAATCATGGAAGTATGCGGATTTGCATTGTTCGCGATCTCGAAAACACCAAGCATGTTTTATTTTGCCTGTGTGATAAATAGCCTATCCACTATAGCCACCCCGGCAGTTAGAAGCTTGTTTACAACTTTCGTATTGCCGACTCAAGCAGGTCAAATATTAGGAGCCTTGAGCGTTATTGAGAGTTTGGGAAGTATATTGAGTCCTCTTTGGATGAATTCGTTGTATAGTTGGTCCGTCCAAAGAGGATTTCCCGAGGTGGTCTTTTGGGCAAATTCTTGGTTGTTTGTCGCCAGTGTTTTCTTGGCATACTTAATCTTATGAGATCATTCATCCGATCCCGGACATACCAACTCAAATACATACATATATATATGTACAACACAATTTCACCAGTCCCCCGATATATATTAGTTAATAAATCAAAGTCTAGGGTAATTTACAAATACAATTGTCCCTCGCCTATCAAATAATGTACAAGTTAAATAAGATCACAAATCGAATGGCGCTCGCTAATCAATCAATTTAGCAAATTCCATAGTATTCTTTGAGAAGTAATCTGCCACTACACTGAATCCGTCTTCTGCCTCTTCCATCTGCGACAGAAAAAAATCATCAGAACAAAGTTCTGGTTTTCCGACAAACAAATGTAAGTCCACTTTGTACATACCTGTCGAGCGAATTCATCATGTTTGTCTGCATTTATTTCCTGCGACTTTCTTATCTCGGCAATTGTGCGATGTTGGATAGCGCATTGTGGACATTCTCGATCAGACTCGGGCAAACAACTGTGATGGAACATGAATTTTTCGGTCAAAAATAACAAAAATGGTGATCGAATGAGGTCAAATTTCACAAACCGTTGATGATAGGAATGCCGGCATAAAAAGTGTACGGAAGGTAGATCGAGAGGTTCCCGGCATAAAGTACACTTTGTCAATGGGAAAAGACGCGCACTAAATAAAATCAAATGAGGGTAAGTCATGTAACGTATGAGTACGAGAGTAAAAAAAGAATGCGTACACGCTCTTCAATTCTTCAATCTCGTTTCTCTTTTTCTCGGTCTCCTCTCGGTAACTTTGTATCAACTTTCGATCCACCTGGGACTCTTTCCTCTCAGACTCAATTCTTCTCCCCATGTATACCTTGATCATTTCGAGGGTCGCCACTGAATTTCTACTAAGAGCTTGAACAACTTGTAATGGTGGTAGCAAGTTATGCGAATCAATATAATCAAGGATTTCCAAAAGTTCGGGAGTAGATGAAGCCAAGGTTGTTGGGGAGGAAGAAAAATATGTCAATGTCAAGGGGTAAAGGGATTGTTCTTGCGGGCTGCACGCAAATATGATATCCATTGGTTAAATGCAATTAACCGAAAAGAATAAAATTTCAAAACAAAGATTACGAAATCAATATACCCATATGTTTTTAATGTCTGAATAACCTTTTTAGTATCGTCTTTGGCCATGAAAAATCTCAGTATTTCTTCGTACATCTTCATTTTTTCGTAAAGATAAACGATGCCTTCATCAAACTGTGCCAAATAGCAGAGCACAAGCGCCTGGTTGGTATCATACGCAACCTATGCATAACATTTGTTAGCAGAAATGTATGATATAACACACCAGACAAAAGTCAAAATTTTTGCAAGTAATCACTCACATCCTTGTCTTTCAGTAATTGCAAGGCCTTATCTTTTCTGAGCAGTTTCTCTTTTACGCGCTCCATCTCGGTGGAGACCACAAAGTTTCCGTACTTTTTCCCTTTAATCTCTTTTTCCATCTCGACCGGGGGCAGGTAAGCCTCAGACAGGTACAGCTCCAATAGTGTGTCCCAAACCGCTTTTTTCTCCTCAATTTCGGGATCAGACTCGTCCACCTTGGCGGATGTGCTTGCATCAGTACTACTACCTGGTAGACCGTTTGCTTCATCAGATCTCGAAGTTTTTCGTGTCGAACTAAAACCGCCCCAACGTTTTTGCGATACTTGTTCCAAGAATTGAATAAGATAGTTCGGTCGATCAACAAATAACGACATGAATGTACGTACAGGTGGCGGTTTATAAGAAACGTTACGAGATCGACTACTAGACGATGAGGGTGGCTGTTGTCCCGGTGATGTTGTCCCGGGCGCTTCCGAGGAAGCGGGCTGGGACGCGGGTCCAAGTAAGAATGAAAAACTCGGAGCGTAATTGTTTACAATTGCAGAAGATTGAGCTCCCTCGGGAGTTCGAGTACGCTGACCACTCGAAAATAGATCACCGGTACAAAGATCAATAAGGAGTTGTGTTGTAGGTTGCGGGAGGTGATTAAGGAGGATCTTTCCGTACTTTTGTAAATTACGATTTGCCTAGATTTGAGAAGAAAGAAAGTTAAATTTTTGCATAAATTACTTTTGACAAATACTAGTTATCGAACCTCAGAAGGACCCAATTTACGGATGTATTCCAAAGCATTTTGGTAATCCTCGACATCCTCTATTTGTATTTTCAGGTACCTTGAAAAAAAAAAAAAAAACAACAATTAACAGTGAATGCAATTGGGGAATGTAAACAATCAAGACTCAGATAAATAAGTGCGGTGCGTACAAATCATGCTCTCCAAATTTCTTGGCCAAATATACAGCATGCTCATGATACCCCGCTTGTCGGCACACTTTTATGGCCGTTTCCAAGTCGAATGTAAGCTCGTTGTCAGTCTGTCATTAAGATCAAAGAGTAAGGTCGAATGAAGCCATATTTACCACGGAACATGAAAAGTAAGTCTTTCTAGAAACACCAAACCTTGATGAATTGATCAAGACGCGCCACATCTTTTAATTTCGTGTAACAATTTAACAAGAGAGTGGTATGATCGGCATTGGCGAAACCAAGAGAGTGGAGTTTCTGGAGGTAGTTAACGAGATTGTGGATACGCTGAGCATCTAAAAACTGTTGACTTCTTCTGTGTTAGTTTCATTGGACATCTTGTTTGAAACGTGTGAAACATTAATCACCTGACGAATTATGTACGACGGTTCGAGGTGACCGATTGTTCGGATGTACTGGGTCATCGCATCCTCGTATTTAGCTTCGCTAAATTTTTTTATTTCAAGAACGTTTGATTAGACAACAAATGTGAGTTCATAATCAAATATTATGTTTTTTTCCTAATAAACACCTGTACAAATGATCTCCATATTTCCTGAAAATCTCGGAAATACTCGCATCATCGTATTTTTGACTATGCGCAAGGTTGACAGCAAGTGAATACATATTATTCTTAAAAAGAATTTCAAGTTTGGTTGGTGTGTCTTTCTCGTCCAAGCGGTATAACTTAAAATTGAGAGATAAAAAAAATTGGTTCAATTCTACGGGGCGCGACATATGTGCAAATGAAAATATTCGGTCAAACCTTTCCGTCCATTCCAAGAATATAGATCCCACCCCACTCGCACGTGATTGTTCGTACACCAGGAGAAAATGTTCCCATGTATGCAATGAACCTATTTGTGGTATCGAATATGGTCACCTTGGTAAGTTCATAAGATGTGAATTGTTGAGAGGGATTTCCCGGATTGACGGATAAGGCAGAACGCGTTGAGGCCGTAAGTCGGGTTGGTTGAGAGGCGGGAGGAGAAACAATGATGAGATTCGATTTGAACCAGGTCACAAACGACTTTGCGCCTGTGTAAAAGAGATCGGTTGTTTTTAGATTACACATTATTTCGCGCTTCGCGGATAGTATGATAAAATAGTCATACCTTCATAAGCATAACATGATCCCCTTCCTTCAGGTCCATAGAAATAAATCGCCTGTAAATAACTTCAGATTTAAATATAACCATAGAATTCGGAAAGACGACATTTGAAATAGATTGATATCTCCTGACCTCATCTTTTGCGACAACCATTTCGTTTGTAGTGTCGCTTATCACTGCGCAACCCAGACCACAACCTTGTTCGTCGAGAACTGTCTAATTATGTAATAAAGTTAACAATTGGAAATCTTGATTAATCAAATTCTCTTCATGGATTAACTTACAACAGGCGCTCGACTAGTCGTTAGATATGTCAGGATTTTGTTTGTCGTCACAATAAATAAGATAACATTCTTATTATGTTCTTTGAAGCCGAGACCTTAATTATTACATTCCAGGAGAGTAAATTTATTAATACACAATTTAACGAAGCTTTTAATTTCAAGATCACATTACCTGTCACCGGCTCCTCGCTTTCGTGAATTACTTTCTGTTTTGTATAACGGTCTCGATATATGTCACCCTTGATCAAAACCACCACTCCATTTGCCAACCCAACAGCGATCTGACCCAAGTTTTCCAACACGGCAAAAGTTGAAACCGGGAATGGTTTTCCCCCATGGTTTACTTTAATTGTGCGCTGAGGTGTGCCCTTAGATTTGTCCTGCTTATCAAGATCCCAAATCTTGATGACCGGTGGATCTTCTTCCTACAACGTGCACGCGACATTTGGCCACTTAGAATCAATGGATAAAAAAGATCATACACAGGAACTAGATAAAAACATACGCCTATCGTTAATAAGATATTTTTCTGTTTCATTTGTTTCATGTGAGCCACTCGTCCACCCTCATATGCCAAAAATTTTTGAAAGCTAAATGTTCTGTCAACAATATACACATATCCTGAAGAGTGTAATCAACAAGTATAAATAGGATGCGCGTTTATCACGCGCATAAGTTATCCGTCAAGCTTAATATAAGAGTATTATCAGACAAAAGCGAAAAAAAAAAAAAAAACAAAGGATATCAGCCAAGATAATATTTCCACGACCACTCGTGCTCACGGTTATGTCCGGCTTCTGCAAAACGTTGAGAAATTGTTATTTACCAGGGAAGTCCATGAATAACACTAAATCATATCATTGAATCAATCATTACTTGAAAGATTGCTGGTGGTTTTGTAGCATCCTGTGGATCTCTGATCTGCTGAACATCAAAAAAGTTGTACCGGCGCCTTTAAAATTAAACTAACGATTAGCTAGTATCTAGTGAAATAAAACCGAAAAATACACTTATTCACTTCGCGTACCACTGATCGCTTGATGTTTGTGAGTGACGTCTATTTGTCATTTTGGTCGTTGATTTTTTAGAACAACTGGCCACCAAGTTTTTTGTTTCAATATGCGTAAATCTGTACGACCAGTGAAACTCTATTTTGAAAAAGAAATTCCATTGTTTTAGATTGATTAAATCTATTATACTGTATATTGATGCGCGCATTATAGAGTAATTTTCCCCAACTTTTATTAATAATTTTTTTAGAAATCTTCAAATTGCAAAAAATTTTGGATGGATTTGCTTATTGAAGTCTTATTCCATGACAAATTTCTTTTTTTTTTATGCGAGAGATGAAAACAATAAAATTGAATTGGATGAAGATTTCTTATTCTGTTGTCTCGAAGCAATGCAAATTACTATTGTTATATGCAAACCAACAAGATCTAAAAAAATTTGTAGAGAAACAAGACTTGCCAAGATTGTAAAGTTTGTTATGAATATAAAAATAATAGATTTTCTTATTAAAGGATAGTTATAGGTTTTCTAATGAAAAATAATTTATTTGAAAAAAATAAAATAAAAAAAAAACTTGAAAAAAAGTTTTTACAAGTAAAATAAAAAGATAGTTGAATCAAATATTAAAAATTATACTGTATATAATATACAATTGCTTCTAAAAGTTTGAGTCTACTTATTCTGTTTTTATTGTAAATTTCAACCTTATTAAATTTTTTTTTTTTTTAAAATTTATTGTTAGGTTTTTTTTTTTTTTTTTTTTTTTTTTTTTTTTTTTTTTTTTTTTTTTGTTTTTTTTTTTTTTTTTTTTTTTTTTTTTTTTTTTTTTTTTTTTTTTTTTTTTTTTTTTTTTTTTTTTTTTTTTTTTAATGGGCTCATGCCTAACTTTATTGAATTTCAAATTACAAGTTTACATTGTGCAAAGCACAAATACATGGATGTATATTCGAGGAAGATAAAGATAACGATAAGCTAAAAATATTCTAAAGCTACTTTAAGGCTTGTTATCCTTTCTTTTTTCAAAGAAAACCAGCATCTCTAGAGCATGCTGGTGTTATAAAATGAAAATAAAAGAAATAAAAGAAAAATTGGACAGTCATGTGAAATGTATTGGTCTTGTTTCTTGGCACATGCTTGTCTTGTTCACATTTCACTCATAAAAGGTTTGGAGGAAACTTCTACTGAGTCTTTTATGAAGATAAAGTGAAGGCCAAAGAGAAGACTGTATAGTTTTAAGACTTATGGGGAGGAAGTAGCCAAGAAAGACAGATGATATATTGGTGTCTGCATAATCGACTTGAAAGTCTTCCAGTATATTGTCAATTAAACCTATTCCTATCCAAATATGGGTATACTTATCCATCTGTGCATCTTATTTCAGATTTAATTTCTTATATGAAGAATAGCACCTAGCCTTGCGGTCGACATATCCTGCTGGTGGCCATTAGTATTAACAATCAATGAGGATCTTCCAGACATTTCAGCTGGCTTGCACGTCACTACTGACATTTTTGGACTCAAGTTTCAATTGGTGTAGTGGTGTTAATCTTTCAGTCTTCTAGCTCAGGATTTTTTGAAAATAGAATAAAAATTTCCTAGATTACTTTGTACATAAGCTTTACCACTGAGTATCCTTAATAGTTCCATACTTTCTCTGATTTAGACTTTTCGGGTAGTAGAAGTTAAAACCTACCTGACATACAATCAGGCTATAGATGACACTGACTTGAGAAAAGATCAATCGAGCATCTTGTGACCTTTATCATAGTCAAACGGACTCTTTCTTATATCCAATAATATGTCAGTATCATATTCTATATCCACCTGCATCAGACAAAATGACTTATGATAGATCCCAGGTTTTTATGAAGCTGAGGAAATACATTCAGACATGTGAAGTGGCCAATAGGAGCTTGTTTATCAATATTGACTAACATGTTTCACGTTGACCAATCAGAGTTGACAAGATTCATGTTACTCAAAATTTCAAGATCAAACTGAAGTAGGCAAAATTTTCCAGAAAGCCGTGAAAAAGATAGCTCTGAAAGGCCATAATATCAGTCAAAGGGTGGAAAATTGAGTCCTTTAACTGGTTTTAACCTGTTATCTCCATCATAACTAAGAGGTGAAAGGTACTTTACTGTTGATCCTTTTTTCTTTAGAAACTTTCTTACTGTTGGTAGTAAAAGTGGAAGTTAAACTTTGCAAGCCACAAGAATTTAGTTTGTTCAAAGGAGATTGTAGATAAGAGGGAAAGAATGGTGAGAGAGTTCTAAAAAAACTCTTTGGGTTAATTTAAAGAAAGTAGTAAGACTTTATTGGTATAGAAGAGAAAAAAAAAAAAAAAAAAAAAAACCTCTTTTCTATACACATCAGATTTTTAAAAATTTTCTTTTTTGAAAATTTTCTTCTTTTGCAAAAAATGGACTCCCAAGCACCGAGTTTTACTTACAACATGATACCAAAAACTATTTTGACCAAAAACACACAAACATAAGGTCAAACAACTTCAACAATGTCTCAAACACAACAAAATAAAACAAGAAATATAGAGGTTGATAAGCAACAAACTTTACTCAAAAATACTCTCAAAACGAATCTGAGAAGCTCAACACCATCATACAATGATAGATACAACTCTAACGAAGTAAGCACCTCTTCAAATAACAACAATAGCACACATTATAAACACAAAAATAGGGTGAATTTATCAATCAATACTACAAGTACAGAAACACTTCCAAACAATCAAAGAGATAATAAAAGCAACTCATCTACCCCACGTGGCTTCAGCAACACAGATAATTAATATGATGATTGGTTTGAAGAAGTACAAGCATTCCAACCCTCCTTATCCCTACCCAACGAATCTTCTGAACAACAAAACTCATTCTTCTTCTCAAATAACAAACCAGCTGACTGGTCTATTGAATATGATAGAAAACGTTTCAAGATATGCATCCCCACAACAGAGATCCCCAGCAAAGATGACGACAGCAAACTTAAACTTCTACAAAAATTCCTATCAAGATTGGAATCATTTACATCAATCAGAATCAACAAATCTCAAGAAGGAAGCAACATCATAGCCCTGTTTGGATCTGAAACAGATACAGAAAAAGTCAAAAATATCAAACTTGATGATGATACAACTATTCATATACAACTACTACCAGTATATAATGGGATTGAAGCCAAAAATAAGACAATCAGAACATGGAACATACCACTCAACACCACATTTGCAGATATCCATGCTAAATTTTCCAAATTCGGTAAAATTAAATCGATCAAAATGCAAACAATTGATATATAGCAATCAATCAACATTGAATTCCACAAGCAACAAGATATGACAAAATTAGCAACCACTGGGCTATCCCCTTCAAAGCTGACCTAATCAGAATTTTCCCCTTCCTTAACACGAATCAAATCAAATAAAAAAGAAGTATCTACACACTCAAACTCATTAACTTTTCTCCAGGCATTACAGGTTTTGACCTCAAAGAAATAATTCAAATAACAAAAACACAAACCTAATATATTCCACGAACCATCAACTACAGAAGAAAGAGATTTATAGTCCTTAGCTTCAAAGATGAAGAAACTCTATTTCAAGCAAAAAACACCCAAACCTTCTTAGGTAATACTGAACTAGCATGGATAGAACTATCATAAAAAAACTGCAGCATCTGCTCTAGTACAGATCACATCCTTAAAGACTGTCCTATAAGAGCACGTCAATAACAATTAGCAGAACAGAAAAAACTCAACACCAAGAAATTTGCCATTTATACACAAGATTCAAATCAGCAGGCATTCCAAAAATCAAAAACAAACTATCTCTGAGAAGATCATTTACACAAGTAGTTAAAGACAACCAAAAGCCAATAGAACCACACAATACAGATCAACCTTCTCTAATTGAAAACCCCATACTGAAAGACATTTACAACATTCTCAAACACCTCAGCAATAAAGTCCTTTCAATCAAACAAAACCTAAACACACTCAACCAAAGAATTGACCATTTGGAAGATAAAATGAATGAATTATACAACAATCCATTTGAGGAAAACCTTCATGAAACAACCACCAATATCAATTAAGATATAGAAGATTTATTCAGCACCACCTCAAGTATAGCCAGAAAAAGATACACAACTAGCCCAGCACAAGACATTAGAGTAGAACAAGAAAAACTCTCCAATCAAATGAACAACATTGAAAATTCAATCGCCCAAATGACCTCATCCTATGAACAACTAATCCAATTGAACCTAACTCCTACACAAAACACAAACCCCTAGAATCCATTAAAACAATGAATCACAATACTCAACTATCAACAAATATTTATTCATCAATTCTCGCAACTCAATCCTCATCATTGACAACCTCTACCTCCACCTACACATCTCCTAACAATAACTCACCTACACATAACAACATATAAGAACTAAACAATTCACAACACAACCAAACTAGTCTAACATGAAAAATTTGCTTCAGAAACATTAGAGGCTTATCTGTTAA